CAGATCGAGGTTGACCAAAATGAATGCTGGCTGCACTAACTAAACAAAATAAAAAAATTTCTATTTTGCATTTCAGAGAAAAAAAGAGGTTTCTTTAGCAGTCTGTATAATATATATAAATATATTTGTATAATAGATATATATATAAATATTAAAATTTTGAAAAACATAAAATATTGAAATATTGAAAATTTAAAAATGTGAAAATAACCAAAATAAAAATATCAGGTTAATAATGAAATAAAAATTATAAGAACAATAATAAATACAAATTATACAGAACAATATATAAATTTTAATGGAAATTAAAACAAAATAAAAAAACAATTAAAAATATGTTATCACATCAAACTATGTTTTTACATACAAAAATTGCAAAATTAAATTTTCAAAAAACCTTTAATTTCTTTTTTTTATATCTTGTGTTATGTTCTTTGTAGCCTTTTTTTCTTTTCCTTTATTGTAACAGTAAAAGTTTAGAAAATATTTAGCAATATTTCCAAAATTAATGTCATTTTTTTTCCCATATAATTTCATTTGTACATTCTTTTAAAGATTGTTTTACCAAAGGCCTAAATAATTTTAATACTTACTTATAACTATATCTAAATTATTATAAATTCCATATTAAACTTCTGAACAGTCTGCTAGTAGTACATTTGAACAGAAAAAATTATCAACATTTTTATAACTCGAGTCAGTTTTGTGTTCTACTACAAGTATTTATATATATGGTCATAGACATTTGTTTTAACATCCACATTTGTGGCTTAGATAGATTTCTATAATGCCATTTTCTTATTTAAATATAACAATATTATAGATGAGTCAAAGCTTATCATTTACAACCAAATGTTTTTCCTGTCATTAACATATTTTGCTGATCATAACTGAGTAATTTTATTGAAATAGTAACACTAGGAGGATTACCATCAAAGTTAATCAATCCTACAATCTCATTTTTCTAGAGGGTGCTTTTACCACAGATAAGGAACCTCCTTTGCTCTAAATAACAATTAAATTGTTTTTAATTAACAATTTTAAAAGGAATTTGTAGATAACAAAAATTGTAATAAATTTAAAGTAATTTATTTACAGCTCATAATTGATACAAACCCTGCAGCAGATATAGTATATTTAGGAATTAAAAAATATTTCTATCAAAATTATTCAAAGTTTTAGTAACTTTTAGTAATTTTTGGGTTTTAAACAAAAAAAAGACTAAATATGGCTGATGGCATATCATGATCATAACATTTTTTAATACCATTCATAAACAGTTAAAAAATTAACTAACAAAATGCAAGCAATATTGAAGCTTAAAAATTAGATACATGTAATACTAGGTACTGATTAAGTAATTAATAGAAAAAGTGATCTTACTACTTAAATCTTGTTTCTAGATGTTTCCATTGATCTTACTACTTAGATTTTGTTTCTAGATGCTGTACCATTCACTAAGACATTCTTTAATACAGGCATTGATTAAGTTAAAAAAAATTCAGATGTTTTATTTATTACAACCATCAGAGAAAATATTTAAAAAAGATATGGTAAACCAAATCATATATTTTTCAATACTTAACTTTAAATAATTACTTAGATTGCATCAAATGCTGTATGCGTTTAATGGTTTTGAGCAATACTTCAAGTAATACTATGCTGTAATTTTAAGTGATAAATAACTTTAGCTAGAGAAGGATTTAGAATTTCAATTTAAAAATGCAGCTGCTTTTTTATGATAACAGGAATAGTGTGGTTATTAGATTCAAAAGAGGAACTGATAAAAAAGTTCTTTGCAATTAGTTCTGGTTTATTTTTAGAAAAAGTAATCAAATCAAACTCATATATAAGAGAATGTTAGACTTCCCAGCCTGTAAATTCAGACATCTTTGAGTATTCATCTTTGAGTTGGCAAATATTCTTTGTTTCAAAGATAATTACTTTTAGATGTCTTATAGTTATCTGAATTTAGAAGTTAAAAAGGTGTTAACATTTTAGATTTAAAAAGACATGTTTGTGCTGCCTGGGCTGTTAATGATATTTTCAAGTATTTTCAAAAGAGTCACAGCAACTTAACTTTTGAGATAAAATATAAGATTTAGTAAGATGATAAAAATGGACCATAGCACCAGACAATACTTTTTTGCATCAATTTCTTGCAATGATAAAAAGTTGCTCTTCAAAAAGTCATACTTATAGAAAATATGAAAGAAATCATTACAATAAGAAACAGCAGTTGCAAAAGAGAGGGAGGGGGGGCTCAAAATAAAAGCTTGCGTGAATCAAGAAATATTATTGAAGATAATTTGTGGCATAGAGATAAAATCTCTTTGCTAAAAGAAGATCACAAAAAAAATCATTAAAAGAATATTATTCAGCCTATTGGTAGTAGTAAGAGATAAAATGTATCCCATTGTTTATCCAACATATGCACCATATTCAGTGGAGCAATTTGATAAAGAAGAAGTACAAGATAAAAGTTTTAATACAGAAATATTATTGAAAATAATAACTTGAGATATGGGGACAAAATTTATCAGTCCTAGAAATATCACAAAGAAAATCACTAAAAGAATATTAGTCAGCCTAAAAGTAGTAAGAAGCAAATGATAGAGGAAATCTGATAAAGATGTAGGAGATAAAAGTTTTATTTTTTGATACATAAAAATATAATATAAAAGTATAAAAACATTTTGATTTTGGTGCTTCACAACACAATTTTGCCCCAAGGCCCCAAGCCACCTTGAAGCAGCCCTGTATGAAAATCAAAAGCATCAAGTATACAAAAGAAAAAAAAATAGTGAAATACATAACTGATTGTTTAATTAAGTATAATTATTTTCCTTTTTATTTATGTAGTTATTAAGGTACTCCCAGAAGTCCTTACAATCTTATTACAGAGCACCGGAAAGAACCTAAATAATGCTAAATAACTTGTTGTCCAATTTAAGCGAATGGTTTCATGTAAAAACTAATATTGTTTGCAATTGGAGTTATTCTTTCTCACATCACATGCGTGCATTTTTTTGTAGAGATTAGTTTAAATGTTTTTTATTTTTTTTTCTTATTTCTACATTTCTATTTCTTACAAAGTAGAGCTGAATCATCAATGTTGCTACTAGTCACAGGTGAAAGTTCATCGGTGTCAAGCAGTCTTTCAATGAGAAGTCTTTCAATATCATATTGTTTTATCCCAACAACTGACACTCTCGTTAATGTTAAATGATATTTTAAGTTCAGGTTGTAAGATCTTTTTATATTAACTTCTGAAATTACCTCTAAAGCCCAAATACCTAAGATGGATTTTTTTTTTTTTTTTCGAGTAGCTTGAAGAGTATGATTTGTATATACATAACTATAGTTAAGTCTGATGTAACAGTCAACAAATGTGTGATGTTACACAGCCATTTCATAAATTAAAAAAAAAGGCCTAGAGCGTAGAGTTTTTTACTAGAATATACCCACAGCATAGAGTTTTTTGCCAGAATACCCACAACATATTGTGGATATTCTGGCAAAAAGTGTAAACTCAAAAATCCTCATTAAGAGAAATCAATCATTTAAGTTTTCTTTCAATTTGAAACTTTTGTAACCTTATTTAATTGTATTTGGTAAAGGCATTTAAATAAACGATAAGTGTTTATTTAAGAAAATATTTAGAGCTTTTATTTTAATTTGAAAGCTTTTATCCTAAAGAAGTTTTTTGAGTTAATGTTGAATGCAATTTTATAACCAGAGAAAAGCTTTTCTCTGGTTATAAAAATACATTTAAACATCTTTAGAGATGTTTTATTCAACTTGTATTTTGCCAGTTTGTAGAGTGTTGTAAACTTTACAATACTGCATCATTAAGTCAAAACTGCCAATTTTTGACCTAATGACTTATGTTAGTATACACACAATATACACTTCAATGATCCAGGTTGAAACCCTCAAAATAGGAAAGCGCCATCAAATATTCGGCAGTTTTTGCAAAGCGTCTAGTCGAATATTTAGTATTCGATAAAACCACTATCCATGACATCTCTATTTAAAATAGTTCATGCTTTTGTTTTTAAATGAATAAACAAAAATAAAAAATTGGAAAGTTAAATTGAATTAAAAGATAAAAAGATTTTGAGATTTTCATTTGACTGAATTGACTTTTAGTCAATTAGTATTAGTCAAATGCGGTAGTGGTGTAGTGGTAGAGCGCTTGCTTCATAAACAAGTGGTTCCGAGTTTGATCCCCACCACGTCCCTGGTAGTACCGCGCTCAACTCGTTTCTCCGCGCAGCGGTCTTGTTCGTCAAGGTTCGTGTTTCGGAGTTATAGAGTTGAGAGAGGGTTATAACCACAAATAAGTACCCTCCTCGTCTGTAGTGGCCTTCTCGGCCTTGAGGAGGTGAATTAAAATAAAAAAAAATTAAAAAAAAAAAAGTCAATAGTCTATTAAATCAACTATTCGTTTTTTGCTAATGGACTAATTTTGATAAAATTAGCTGTCTTTGCAAAAGTTTTTCAATTTAAAAAAAAATTAAACATGATGAAAAACATCAAATTTAGTCACAAAAATTTTGGTACAAATATTGGGCAAAATTTTTTCCAATATTTTTTCAAAATATTTTTCAAAATATATTCAAATATTGGGGAAACATTTAGTAAAGTTTACAAACCAATCTATACCTGTTTCTTTTCAGTTTATTTTATAGTTAATATATCTAATCCTGTTTCAATCAAAAACTTCATCACACTTATTTTTGTTGACTTTGGTATTACTTACATTGGTTACTACACTAAGGTGCAAAAATTGAACTGCTTTGTAAATCCAAAATGAGAATAAATTTTCACATTCTAAACCTTTTTTTGATGATATGAAGATATGATATGATTCTTTTTTTTTTTGATGATATGATATTTGATGTATATAAACTGCTGATGTAAAAAAAAAAAAAAAAACTAAGTAAAAAATAAAACTAAGTAAAAAATCTGTGTTAAATCCTATTTTTTATCTTCAGTACATTGTTATGGATATGCCAGCCCTCGGATTTAGAAAAAATGACGTCAGTAATAATTTGCTGACCTTAATTTGTTTAGGTTGCCATCATGTCGGCAAATAAAATTTGATAAAAAAGTTAGTACCAAAAAACATAGAATTGAAGTCAGTGATTTTTTGCCAACCTCAAACACTTCTAGGTTGGCAGTAAGGTCAGCATTGCCAAATGCTTACCCAAATTCCAAGAGCTTATATATAGATACTACTAAAACTCAGCATATAACATAACATATATAAACATATAATATAACATTTAATATAACATATATACAACATATAATATAACACATATACAACATAATAAATTCAGTATTTCAATATAGATAGAGATAACAAAATATATGAATATGCCATAATTGAATTGTATGTTTATTTTTTATGGCTCTAATTGTAATACCTTTGTAAAAATGATTTGGAAACTTAGTTTATATTATCCACAACTTGTATGTATTTTGTAAAAGTCTTATATTATCATCTTTAATATGTATGTTTACACATGTTAAGACAACAAAAAATTGAAATAAAATTCTCATTTTGTACAACTTACAAGAAATTGTTACACAATCAGCAACAAGTTTAGTAGACAATTTACAAACAAAAGAAATAAAACAAAAATTTAATAAAAGTAAAAAAAAAACAGAAAAAAGTTGAAAACAATAAAAAGCTTCTGTTACAATAAAAAAGTAAAAGAACTTTAAGACATGTTTCAGAAGAACTTTAAATATAATTTTACACTACATTATTTACATAATACCGTTAACTAATTTTATGCTTTTATTCTGTACTTTGTTAAACTATGCTAGTTTTATTTTATCTAGATTTTTTCTAAGAAAGTAAGGCTTTTGATCTGAAACATTTTCTTAACAACATTGATATTCATTTTTTGATCTGAAGACATATTCTTAACAACATTGATATTCATTTTGAAATTAGAACTTATTAAGTTATTTTTAAAACCCAATATTTTTAGTTTTGACTTTTTTAAGTTACTTTTAGATAATATGAATTTTAAACTATTTTTAAAAAACTTTTAGCTTAGTGATAACAATTCTTCATATTTTTTGTAAAACTTTTTTTTTTTTTAATTACAGTGACTTTTTAAGGTCTACAACTAAACTTGTTTTGTAAAATGTTCATTAGAGAAAATTTCATTTTTATAAAAACATGTTTAAGCTCACATAAAGACATTTTTTTGATTGGTTTAGCAATCCTTGATACATTTAAAAAATAATTTTCTTGTGTTTCTTCTGTTTATAATGATTGATTTAGCAATCCTTGATACATATGAAAAATATTTTTCTTGAGTTTTGATTGAATAGTTGGTTATATAGTTCTGAAATGTCTTTTGAAGGCAATAATGGCAGTTTAGAAACCAGGAACACCATATTAACAATATTTAAAATGTAACGGATACTTAAGAGAAGTTGTTAAAGTGAAAAATACTGCTAAGAATTATGATAACACTGTTAGTGGTAATGAATTCGATCTATTTTAAATTTTAATTCATTTTTTTATTTATTCTAGTTTATATTAAGGAAAAAAACAAGTATATTGAAATCCATTATACATATGTTTTTAACATTTGCACTTTTAAGATAACAGTTCAAATAATGATAAAAAAGTTATCTAAGTTTTTGCATTTTTATGCAACTTAAAGGATATAGATTTTATTACTGGATAAGAAAATGAAAATAGATCTCCCCAGTAGGAACAAGACATGTTTAAAACGATGAAAACACATGTTAAAATGTATTAACAAATTTTATAAACAACTTGTGCCCACTGGATCTGTCAAATAATTTTATGGAATAAATGAGATAACAAAAAAACTTCAAAACAGTATTGATATTTTATAAATAATATGAGTAATATTATATTGACCAAGCCCTCATTCTTTATCCATCAGCCAATATTGTTGTTGTCGGTGACTTTAATATTCATCACACTGAATGGCTTGGCTCTAGTGTCAGTGACTCTGCAGGCATTAAGGCCCACAACTTTTGTCTTTCTCAATCCCTAACTCAAATAGTCAACTTTCCAACTCGCTTTCCAGACAACCCGAATCATTTACCTTCTCTACTCGACTTATGTCTTGTTTCTGATCCTAGTCAGTGCTCAGTTTCTTCACACTCACCCTAAGGTGCGTCTGATCATGGTTTGGTCTCTCTAAAGCTATTATCTCATTCTTCTTTACCATCAGAATCCCCCTATCATGGTACATCTTACAACTACCTTAAAGCTGACTGGGACTCTTTCCGTAATTTTCTTTGTGATGGCCCCTGGGTAGAAATCTTTTGTCTCCCTGTTGACAAATGTGCTTCTTACATAACTTCGTAGATTCAGGCTGGCATGGAATCCTTTATTCCTTCTCGACAATTCCAGGTCAAGCCTCACTCTTCTCCATGGTTTTTCTCACATTGTGCTGCTGCAATTGCCAATCGAAACCATAACTTCCATATCAATCAGCAAATCAATTCTCCAGAACACAGACGTCTGTTTATTACTGCTAGAAACCATTGTAAAAAGGTTTTGTCTAACGCCAAAGCCCGCTATTCTCAGATCAAGATATCTTGTATTTCATCACAAAAATTAGGCTCTCGTGACTTCTGGAGAATCTTTAATAGTATCAATAATAAGGGCAAGTCTGTAATTCCACCTCTTTTGTATGGTTCAGACTTTGTCACCTCACCTAAAGACAAAGCTGAATTGCTTGCCAAGAACTTTTCATCAATATCATCTCTTGATGCCACTAGTTGCGTTCTACCTGATATAGCCGTCAAACAAGTTGATCCATTGCTCGACATTCATATCACTCCAGCTTCTGTATCTAAAGTGATTTCCTGCTTAGACTCTTCTACAGCTTGCGGCCCGGACAACATACCTGTTATAGTCTTGCAGAAGTGTTCTCCGGAGCTGTCATCTATCCTTTCAAAACTTTTAACAAGTGCTTATCAGAATCTTGTTTTCCAGCCTGCTGGAAAGCAGCTTAGCTATCCCTATTTTTAAAAACTCTGGAGAGCAATCTGATTCATTTAACTACCGTCCCAATAGTCATAAGCAAGGTTTTTGAATCTTTAATTAACAAACACTTAATCTCTCATCTCGAATCTCATAACCTACTTTCTGATCATCAATATGGATTTCGATTTTCTCGTTCTACGGCTGATTTGCTATCAGTAATAACCGATAGGTTTTATCACGCATTTGATAAAGGTGGAGAGGTTAAGGCCATTGCTCTTGACATTTCTAAAGCGTTTGATAAAGTTTGGCATGCTGGTCTCCTCCATAAGCTTTCTTCTTACGGTGTATCTGGAAACATCTTTAAGATTATTGAATCCTTTCTTTCCAATTATAGTATAAAAGTTTTCCTTGATGGACAGCACTCTTCTTATTCTGTAACCTCAGGGGTTCCCCAAGGTTCAATTCTTGGCCCTATACTCTTTTTAATTTACATTAACGATCTTCCAGATATTCTCACATCTAAGGTGGTATTGTTCGCTGATGATACAACTATTTATTCTTGTCACGATAAGAAGCCAACTCCCTCTGATTGCTTGCAGGGGGCATATGAGCTTGAAAAAGATCTCACTTCTGCTACAGCATGGGGCTCACAGTGGCTGGTGAACTTTAATTCAGATAAAACTCAATTTTTTTCGGCCAATTGTTATCGCAATAATTTAGACCTTCCTATATTTATGAACGGTAATGTACTTGATGAGTCTCCTACCCTTCATCTTCTAGGATTAACTCTTACTTCTGATTTTTCTTGGAAACCTTATATCAAATCCGTTGCAAAATTAGCATCTGCTAAAGTTGCTTCTCTTTATCAAGCTCGTCACTTTCTTACTCTGGATCCTATTCTCTATCTCTATAAATCTCAAATTCAGCCTTGTATGGAATACTGTTGCCATATCTGGGGTGGATCTTCTAATGATGCTCTTTCTCTTTTAGACAAGGTGCAAAAATGCATTGTAAACATAGTTGGACCTGCTCTTGCAGCCAACCTTCAACCTCTGTCACATCGTTGTAATGTTGCTTCTCTTTCTCTTTTCTACAAATACTATAATGAGCACTGCTCTAAAGAGCTAGCGTCTCTTGTGCCATCTACTAAAATTCATTCTCGTGTTACTTGTCATTCAATCAAGTCTTATCCTTTTTCTGTTACTGTTCCTAAGTGCTCAAAAACTCTTATTCATCTAGTTTTTTTCCTCGAACATTAGTTCTTTGGAATTCGCTTCCTTCATCTTGCTTTCCTGATTCATATAATTTGCAATCTTTTAAGTCGTCTGTCAATCGTTATCTTGCTTTACAATCTTCATCTTTTCTCTTCCAGTAACTTCCAACACTAATTAGTGGTTGTTTGCAGCCTTGTTGGAAGCAAAGATTATTAAAAAAAAAAAAGTAAAATGTCAATTAAATATTAAAATTGAATACTTCAAGTTAATAATAAAAAACCATTTAATAAATGTATAACTCTATCCAAACAGATTCAGAAATTGAAAATGTTAGATAAACCATTAAATTTATTTTTATTTTAAGCAACTGTTTTTACAACTTTGATTTTGTTTTCCAAACATTTTATTATTTTTTTTTTATTTTTTCTATAACTATAGAACTTGGTGCTTTCAATTAAGAATAGTTTAAAAAAAATACTTCTCTAATAATAATAATAAACCTAGTGTAATGTTTGTTATGCAATAAAACAAAAATGTATAGACAATTTATTTTTAACAAAAATACAAAATATTAAATGTAGAGTAAATATAAAATTTAAAAATAATTTTTACCAGATTTATTTGTACCATTTATGTTAACACCTAAACAGAAAATATATAATATAATTATTCATTTTGTAATCAAGCATAATCAATAGACTGTTATTTACAAGTTAATAAATAAAATCTTTCTCTAAATAAAGTTTGCAAAAGTTGAAAAGTTTTTGTTGACTATATTCCTATAAGA